CATTGGCTCTTGCTCATATGTTGTTTCATGAAATTCTTCTGTGTCTGCCAATTCCTTTCACTGCAGTGACTCAGTATATTCTTTCCATCATCTTTTAATACTTCCTGTATCATTTAATATTCTGCCTGAAGCATCCTTGATTATAGCAACTCGAGGTTTGAGGTTTGAATTTGTTCTTCAGTTCCTTGAGCTTAAGAAATGCTGAGTGAATTTGGCCCTTTTGATTTTCTGACTCCAACTCCTTGCATATTTCATTGTAATATTTTACTTTTTTATTTAAAAGTCATTTGTATCTGTACATCCTTTCAATAACTCAGGATCTAATAATGCAGGACTTTTAATTTTCTTCCCTGTATTACCTAGAATATTCTCTCTAAAGAAAGATAGGAGAATTGATACACAGTGTTGATGAAGAAAATTGACTACCCAAATAACAAACAAATGCATTTCCAAAAAAACCCAAACAAATCTGTCTTGTAAGAAGTGCAGGCAGATGACTCCTTAGAAGCAAGGATGGTGAGAATTTGTCTTACATAAATTGAGCATGTTGTCAGGAGGGGCCAGTGCCTAGAGAAGGATGTCATTCTTAGAAAAGTAAGAGGAACAGAAAAAGAGAGGAAGGCCCTTGTTAAAAGAGCAAGGGCCTGGTAGGGACAGCCATAGGTTACCTTTACCAACTTCACAAAGGGGAACTGTCCCTGTCAACAACATCAGCAACACAAAACCAGTTCCCATGAGGCCAGATATGTCCCTCATGTTCCCATACCTCTTTCTACTCATCACACACCAATCTTACGCTTTACTGAGCACAAAATCTGATGTGATACCCAACAGACTGTATAGAACCATATTAAGGAAGTCAAAAGGCTGTAATTCAAGTTGGCAGCAAGATACAGTCAGTCAGGACAGCTTTCAAAACGTGTTTGCAGGCACCTCAGTCTTGAACCTCGCAACTTTAGACTGTTACAAAGCTCCCAGTCCTGCCAACTATGGCCCTCCCCTTCACAGTCCCTAAAACTTGGGCAAAAGGCTCTTAGCTCTGGTTCAATGCTGTAGCAGCCCCAAGATCCATGTGTCTCATGTCAGGTCTCTGGTTCTTTGCTGTGGCTGCTTCTCTCATAGGCTCTGATCTGACTGGAGCAAGAATCTCTGGCCCCAAAGAATGCACTGTATTCTCTTGCTTCTCCTTTGTAGGTGTTCAAAGTCTCCCATCTGTCTCTGAGTCTCTTCAATAGTGAGACTAGCAAATCCCATTGTGCATAGAGCTAACACACCCTATTCACATATTCCTGCCCATCCACATGGAAAAGTCAGTGAATGGCCTAGGAAGTCATTCTGAACAATAAACCCTTAACACCATAACCCTCAATGAAAAAGATTGACATAGTGACTGTAACAGTGGGCTTTAAGCACAGCAGAGATGGTGAGAATGGTGCAGGATCATGCAGGGGTTTGTGGCTCATAGGGTCACTATAAGTAGAGACAACAAAACAGCACCTAACAACAGTAGTCGTTAATGGTCACCCCAAACCCATATTCCCCAGCATACTTTCTCTTATGGCATTAATACCAAATCCTCTCTTGGCTGGGTTAAGGGCACTAATAGTCTGTAATATGCAGCAGGTAATACCGAACTTTCCCCCTTATCAGTTGTGACAATTTTCACTTTTACCTTTGACATTTGAGCATACATACATACATTAGAAAACCTTTTGAAAAATATCTTGTTGTTGTTGTTGTGTACCTTCAAGTCAGAACTGACCCACAGCTGACCCTCCAGTGGGTTTTTAGAGGCAGTTAATTGCAAGGGAGGAGATTGCCCATTCTTCTTCCACGGAGCAATTGGAGACCTCGAAATGCATGCCTTCAGGATTGCAGCACAACTTCTTGCCACTAGGCCACTGGAGCTCCTTTTGCAAAATATAAGGTTATTAAATTGGTATAATTTTTAACAAATTTGTAATGTAAAACCTGTGACTGTATTTGCAAAAGTTTGCAAAAATATAAAAAGTTTTGCACGTTATGAAACATAAATTTTGTAAATTGATTACAAAGCAATTAAAAATTATCTTGTTGTTATTGTTAGGTACCATTGAGTCATTAAATTAAATGTTTGCATTGTTGTTGTTTTTATGTGCCGTCAAGTCACCTGTGACTCATAGCAACCCTATGTACAATGGGTCTGAAGCCTGCCCTGTCCTGAGCTGGTCTCACTGACTCTGACATACCTACCCCCAGTTCCCCAGTATCAATCCATCTCATCCTAGGTCTTCCTCTCCTGCACTGTCTCTCCAC